CCTTTGGCTATTCCAGTTATCTGAATACATGGGAGCGAACTAATTTATCAATATTGCTTAAGGCATGGAGACGTACTACTGCCAGTGGTGAGGCTGTGAATCTGACGGGGTGGGGAGAACTTGGTATGGTTTCAGGGGAACTCGAGTCGTTTCTTGAAGCTGAATGCGTATTTGCTCTAAGGATACAGACGATAATTTTGCATTTTCAGTTGAATGAAGGGACGAGATGACTGGATGATTCTTCCGGTTGAGGCGATGATCGAGGAATACGCGAGTGGAGATGTACAGTCCACCATGGTATTGAGAGTAGCCGATTTCAGTTGGCTAATTGATAGGCCAGTGAGAGGAAATTTTCCCCCAAAGTCGTTCTGTCCTGTGCAAAGTTGGTCAACATCAACGTATCCACATAGTCGATAGAGCGATCTGAGTTAGACCACTGAAATGATGTAGCGTTATGAGCCGCATCGTCCAAAGTCATGATGGAGAGCAACATGGACAGCGGGTCCCCTTGCCGAACACCCCTCTGTGGATGACTGCTGATTCTTTTGAAAATGGAAACAGCAGACATAATACTGAATACTGTATTATAGAGCAAGTAAAAATGAATTCTGTACGACCCTTACGAAATATAGTGAAAAACGTTATAAAAGTTGTCGGCCGTGAATATCGTTATTGTTCTCATGTAACATTTAAAATATCCGACTCACGGTATTGCAGGACTCACAAATGTGCGATGTCATCGTAAGTGTGCAATCGTTCTCTGAATGGAATAGTGGTAAAATATAAATCTAACAGCGTTTTGAACTGCCGCGCAGATGTTGCCTCCATCACATGTTCAGGCAAACTGTTCCAAGTATTTGCCACTCTCCGTTCGAAGCACAGTGGGTGGGGAACTCGCTTTACATCTGGCACGGCAAGCTTGTATCTGTGTCCGCGTGTGCTGTGTGGCCCTCGTAAGTGTAGCATTGGCTTCAGCATGGGGAAGTCATCGAGATTTAGAATACGGTAAGTCATCATGAGGTCGACTCGTACCCTACGGTAGGACAAGGTGTAGAGTCCTAGTTTCTCCCACCGGTCTTCATTACTCCAAGTCACGTAAACTCGAAATGAGCCTGATAGCAACGTGTTGAACCCGTTCGATCTGTGCCTTGCCTCGGGCAATCGGAAAATAGGCGGGTAAACCGTACTCTAGCATTGGTCTAATGATGGAAGAGAAGTGGCGAGTGGCAACCTCTTCAGCCCATCTGGCGAAGCTCCGTTTGAGCGCCCAAAGCATGCGCAGTCCGTTACGATATAGCCTGTTCGTGTTGTCCACGGACTTCAGATCGTAGCGTGAGAGTACACCTAGGTCCTTCACAGAGAGTGTGGGATACAGCGGTTGGCCTTCAAGGGTGTAGGTTCGGCCGTCAGCACCCTTCCCCAGGCTCATATATACAGACATGGCTAGGTTGACCGGGAGATGAACTTCTGCAGACCCTGTGGATAGACGGTTGAGGTCTTGCTGAAGTAGGCCACAGTCGTCGGGAGCGTCAATTTCTCTCCAAATCTTCATGTCGTCCGCAAACACGGCGACCGGAGAAGCTGAGATAGATGGTTGATGTGGATCAGGAATAGAGTGGGCCCCAGCACAGTGTCTTGACGCACGCCACTTGTTGTGGGATATCAGTCAGTTAGATGGTCATCGCCTTGTACCCTCCACTTTCGTCCAACAAGAAAGTCGCGAATCCGCCGGTGCAATGAGCCACCGACACCGCACATCCTGAGTTTGTGAAGGAGAACCTCATGGCTGACCTTGTCGAACGTTTTAGTGAAATCTATGAATAACGCGTCGACAGACTTTCTTTTGCTTATTGCCTTTAACCACTCATGCCTCGTCACAAGCAAGTTTGTAATGCATGTGTGGCCTTGCATAAAACCGTACCGTGCGGGCCTCAGGACCTCTTTTAATTGTAGCAACTGCAATAATCCAGTTTTTACGATTTTCTCAGCAACATTTGCCAACATAGCTGTCAGACAAATTGGCCTGTAGTTGTCTACTTTGCTAGGGTCGCCGCCTTTCGGAATAGGCTTCACCACCGAACATTTCCAGTCAATCGGCAACGAACTTTCGGACAGCGACATGTTGGAAAGGTCAGTCACGACAGGAGAGATGATGACTGAAAGTGACTTGAGGATCAGTGAGTGAAGCCCATTAGGTCCGCCAGATTTGGTGCCGCCAAAACTGTCGAGTAGTTGACATACTTCTTCAACGCCACAATCCAGACTGTCGAGTTCTGTAAAAGCGGTACACGCCAAACTCGGAACAGACACTTGATTATTTGCAACTACTGAAGCGAAGTGCGCCGCCAACGCGGAAGCACGCTCAGTGCTGGAGGTTAGGGGCTGTCCGTCCGGCACTGGCACATCATTTGCCGGTTTCAGGCGTCGTTTCACGTATGCAAAGATTCTCTTTGGGGCGGTCTTCGCGGCGATTGCGAGCTGCTCTTCGAACTATCGACGCGATAACTCGATAGAAAGGATGGAGCACCTATATTTAATGCGGTTGGGAGTAACGAATCGTGGAAAACGGAGTCGTGAGCTTTGGGGATATCTATTGAAGCAAGGGACGTAAGAGTGAAGCCTAGCATGCAGAATATTTCGGACTTCGAAAAGCCATTTTTGTAAAGAAATTAAATCTGAATCCATCTGCGAAGATAATTCGATAAAGTAGTATTTGAAGACTGAGGTCACAAAATGAGTTGAAAGTGTTCGGGGTGTTGGGGATTGGAATCCGTGGGGAAGGTGCAGAAAAACAGTCTAAAAGGGGAGAGACAAACCTGGGTTTATCCTGGCTGCATTTTTCGGAACAGTGCGATCGACATCGGCTGCTGCTCGTTCCATAAGCCGAAGAGTGGAAAACATTTTCTCAGTGGACACCGATCGTACCAAATCGAGATTAAAATCTCGCGGTGGAGGAAGCTCATGGTTGTCACGGAACGTTGTACCAGAAATCAGTGCACTCCGGAAACTGCACGTTCTCCAGCATGCATGCAGTTTGCCATCTTCCACCCAATACAGTGGCGGCGGCATCACGTTGCCGAAAGTGGTATAGACGCTACATACAACCAGACTGCAATCGAAGACAATGACGGTTATTCATATCGGCTTTAGAATCAGAACAATGTTTTGAAGGCCTCCAAGTACGCTGAAAAAGGGAGACACTAGTCGAATCTAGCAGGCTGCTGAACATTGTTCTCGACACCCCCACCCTCTAGGAAGCTCTGACATATCTAGCAAAGATAACAGATAAACGTCTAGCGGAGTTGCATATGAAGGTAATAGCTTATACGACTCCGTAAGTAAACTCCGAAAAATTATAGAATCCTCTTTTGCAGCTGTAACGGGAGTACAGGTGATGGTCGGCAGCAGGCTCTTGCGAAGTATCAGCAGCATTGTTGTCAGAGTTCAAACTTGAAAGCTGAGTAAAAAGCTGGTAAGCAGATATTGTCAGAAACTTAGACTGCTCATGGCGATTAGTAGTGGCAGGTGTAGGGTTCGTTCTCTCATCCGTAACAGCCAAGCTGGAGATCGTATTAAGTGACAGTGTCGGTGCTGGAGTTTCCCGCGTGCTCCACACGCCGTCGATCGAAGTATACTTGGACATAGTTGGAGATGACGACTGTTGCAATTTATCGCTCACCGGCAGCCGGGAAGAAAGTTGTTTGGCATTAGAATAGTATCATACTAAATGTTTCAGGTGTTTTCTCACATATGTCCATCGCTGCATATCCAGCTGGCAAGATAGGTGAGTTGCTCAATTGCTTCATCGTTATATAAAGAGTCAAGGGCTGATCAAGTGGATGGTGGTCCTGCAACAACACTACACTTTCAAGGTGCGAAGCGCGTGTCAAATGGTGGGATCATTCTAAAGACGTTATCCCGGGTTGACTGGGCCATCCGAACATCATCCGCATAATCATGACTAACAAGTTTTCCAACAAACAGCACCTCAACGCTTGCATCGTGAGACTCCACTAAGGAACACTTTTGATTTTAACCATAGCGTAGTTGAACGAAAACGGGAAATTAGACAATCCTGATGAACGCCACTTGTTGTCGGAAAGATAACCGACAAGCTACCGTAGACCTTGACACGTCCTGTGGTGTTCGAGTACAGGGTACGTAAAATGTTCATGTATTTCATGGGAACACCTTTTCGCGCAAGTATTTCGATCAACTGAGTCGATCGCATTCTTGAATTCGTGGAACATGGTTATTGTCGGTCTGCGGTACGTGTGGCATTGCTCTAGCACCTGCGGCGGAGTGATTATATGGTCTATACAACCCTATCTTGGACGGAAACCTGTTTGCTCTTCTCTAATCCGGGATTCTCGTTCCGCAGTGAGACGACGAACGAGAACTGTGGCCACCGGCCTTAGTCTAATTCCCTTCCGCTTAGCACAGTCAGTGCGACTGCCCTTCTTGTATATTACTGCTATGATCGATTCTCTTCGTCTAACTGGGATGGTCTGTTCCTTCCAGACCTGTTCGAACAAGGAGATCAGTGCTTTGCAGATGTAAGGGTGTTCTACCGCGCCTTTTAGAAGAAGTTTCAACTGGTCTATTATTACTTGTTTGATAATCGCTAACTCGATCGTGCGCTGAATCACATGCACCGAACATCACGTCGTCATGCACCACTAAGCCATGCAGACCTACTGGATATGGTAGCGTGGAACACTTCACTGCCTCAAACATTCACAATTGCTCGTTCAAAACGGTGTCTAGATCGCTTATCCGCAGATATTTCTATGTTTATCCGGATTTATTCTCATTAATTGCCGATCTGCGGATGGCCTTCACCTCACGCGGACCTTCGAATTTGACTTTGGGAACCTGAGGAAGTCACTCCTTTACCATTGTCAGCCATAACCAGTTAATTAGTGCTGGAATTCCTAACAACTTTATTTGCACTTTGTGTTTATTATGCTTTCAGCATTTACTGTCCTTTTCCTTTTAAGCTGGTTCGCGATCTTGGTGGATTCCATCGCGTCACTGCACAGCTTAAGTGGGGTTACATTTACTCCAAGCTACGCTTACCGCACAATTTTACCGCCGGCCCACGAAATTTGCAAGCTGCGTTCAAAAGGTACGACACTCCCTTCATCATGTTTTATTCGTCGTTCACCTTCTGCACACCGCCAGTATTTTCTGAAATGTCTTCATTAATGGCTGTCTAGGAATTCATGTACAGATGCAACCATTTTATGATTTGATGAACTGGTACCGCCGTAAGTTACTTTTGTTGCACATTATCTTTCTTGTTTCTTCTCTTCCGCGGTACAGCACTACAAGGGTACTGCTGGTGTAGCAGCAAGCCTACGAATTTTGTACTCATACTGCTCGATTTCACTCTCGTTCTCTGTTTTTAACTCGACAAATTTGTAACTCTGTGGGTATATATATATATATATATATATATATATATATATATATATATATCAACCACAAATTTCAGGACACGTTCTTTCCCCCTTCTTGTATTGTTCATACGCTTCTTCGCTTTGCTTGATAATTTCATAGTACATCTTAAGAGGATGCTGTCAACCGAAGTCAAATGATCCTCTTCCATTTGCCTACCGCAGTTCTAGGTCAATCCAAGACGCAGTAGCCTGTCTTGGTACTCGGCCCTGTCGTCACTGGACAATAGAATCAAGTTTACCCGAGTCTGTTTTCTGGGCTACAGCAATGCATTCGGCTGCGTAAGCCGCGAATTGCTGTTGAAAATCCTACAGTGCTTTAATACATCCTTCTACCGTCCTTATGTTTACGGATTATTGTACCGGTTGTACTCAGGTTACCCGATTTGGCTTCAGAAGCTCCTCCCCCTAATCACAAACTTCGCGGTTCTTCAGGGAGCTATTCTGTCACCATTACTGTTTTTCAATTCTTGTATGTACCCAATGAGGCAACCCTGCTGAATTACGCAGATGATATTGTCCTGAGTGTCAATCAATCGACCACTGCCTCTACGGTCAGCTTGCAAGATTTTCTTAACGATCTCACGTTTTGGTCAAAGGCCTGCTAGCTGTCGCTTAACGTGTCAAAATGTAATGCTGTCGTTTTTTTCACTGCACAGAGGAGATCGATATCAACAGCTTCTTCATCAGTGCCCGGAACTCAACCCCGATGGGGAGAGTTTGGCCTCTTCCACATCAGTAAATAATTTGGATATCATGCTTAGCTACGGTTTACCTTGGTCACACCATACAAAACGTTCACAAATATCCGGAGGTTATCGTTCTACGCCTCACGTCTGGGAGCTTCCTCTGTCTCCCATGATTTGATACTTCGCTTTGTCACTGCCTCTGTTCTTCCACATTGGATGTACTGCTCACCAGTAATTTTTCCTGATCTACTGGGCATGGACTTCAGATTGATCTCCAGGTCGTTAAAACGCTTGTCGCGATGCAGCGGTGTATCAAAGCTGTCGTCTGTTAATATACTTGTATTCACTCATGTTGGCTCTTGCATCAGACTAGCATCAACAGCACTTGCCGACACTGTGTGTTATCGGAATGTGTGTCAGCCTCGTCAACCAGACAGAATTATAAATCCTTATATGCTCATACACGAACGTGCGGTTGTCTTTTATCTGGCGCGATATTTGCTAGATCAGAACAATATTCTCCAAGAATTAACAAACCGGTTCATGCTATGATGATATCGTTTTCTCTCAATTATTGGGCCGCTTTTTCGAATTGCATTTATATCATGCTGTATTGCTGAATGCGTGTGTCACTGCTAAATATTTACCCATTCTGGGTGCATAAAGCACTTTCCGGACTTGGCTTACTCCCTACATTTCTTCCGGTGTGAACAGTTATCGCATCCAGCTAGTCTACATTTTGACACTAGGCAGACAACTTTTAGTATTATCTAACGCATATCTACTCGATGTTACCCTGCAGGTTTACGGCTTTCGGCTGGTCTTACTTTTGGAAGTCGCTTCTCCCCTCCTCCAGTCATCAAGTCTACAATTCTCTGTGTTGTTTGTTGCAGATATCTCTATCCTCTGGATGACATCAGCCGCAAATTAGGTACAGATCTCGACGCTCTGCCCCTTTCCCGTCCCAGGCACGCGGCTCCATCTACTTCGTTTACAAACAGCGGTTCAAAGTCGTCTACGGTCGTATGCCGTGGTGCGAATTCTGCTGCCTTGTCAACCGCAGCCAAGTCATCATCGTCGGAGATCAAACCAAGCGATAAGTCTTCTGGAACAAAACCTGTTCTCACTGCCACCGAAAGATTGCCTGTCTGCGAGACATCGATGGAACGTACCTCAGAGCGAACCATTGAATCTTCCCCGCCTGTTTTGAGCCCTCCCGTTTTAGGATGCACTCCTTCTCCGTCTGATGATTGGGCCTCCACATCGATGGATTTGACTCCACTTAAGGGTGCACGTAGGCAACAAATATCGCAGTCTGAGAAGCAACCAAAGTGCGAACCAGAAGACGGAAGCGGATCGGCCGTCACCCACATTGACCGTAACACAAAAAAAGTCAGCCAACTTTCTCATCTTTGTTTGAACGCCTACTTCTATCTGCTTTCATTCATTCGTCTCTTAGACACTGAGTTTTTGTATGTGCCGATTATGCTGTCCATTTGCATACTTTTATCAAAGTGCTCATCGCATAGTTCGGTAACCATGCGCCCTTGTGTGCACTTCTCGGTTTGTCTATTGCTTTTTCTCATCAGAAAGTATATATTTCTTTGTTTCTTAGCCTACTGAGTTTAGCGGACAACAACCAGTTTTAGTACTAAGTGCCACATTGTGTTCAACTAAATTGTGAGTTCACTTGTGCTCATCATCTCGGGAAATTTATTCCAGATTGTTAAATGTTTCTATTTATATGTATTTGACCCTACCTCTTTCTCCTTGGTTCTCACCCATCTTCTCGCTTCAGCGGAATCTTGCCCCAACGACCGACAAACATTCGACTGATGCACCGCCAAAGAATGCATCTGCCATCAACCCGATATCCTCCGACTCTTCCTCATTGTCCGGTAGTTCCGTCGTCTCTGCTCACCCCGAAAAGAAAACGAACCGATCAATTCGTGCCAATCGTATGCCGTTATTCCTCAACTTACCTGATGATTTTGGTACCTTAAGTGATCAGACCGCATCGACTAATCTGAATCAGGTACTGTTCGTCACTTGGCTCTGTCCTAGTTCATCCTGTTATTCCATCCACTAACTCACCTATGCTACTTTTTTTCTTTATCGGCTAATTCTCACACTTGTTACTTTAGTTCACTTATATCAAAGATGTCTTCAAATGGCTTGTTGCCGGAACACATTCATGGGTATTTTATCTGTATGCTCTCAAACACTCTTGAGCTGTCTGTTTTCAACCCCCTCCTGTTCGCGAATTTTAAAAAAATCCTATTTCTGTTCCTTAGGTTATCCCTGTGGGTTCTCGAGTCCGTGTGCGTTGCGGAGACAGAGTCGCTTATGAAGCCAAGGTGTTGAAGCACATCCGCCCGCAGGCAGGACTGGCCGTCGGCAGAGGAGCTGAGAGTTCTTTCACAAACACTTGGTCTGAGCCAACCGAGCTGCAATATCGAGTGCACTATTTGGGATGGAACACTCGTCACGATGAAGTAGTTTCACGATCACGTATCGTGTGCGTTTCTTGATGTTTCTTTGTTGAATATTTTTTGATTGAGGTACTGGGTGTGGTTGCTTCTTGACTCGGTTCCTCGTTGATCTGTATGCTTAATACTGACCGAACCGTCTGCCTTCTATATTGGGTCGTGTCTCACTGCTTTTTTCGTTGAGTCACACTAAAATCAATGACGCGTTTGGCCACCAGCGAAGCCTACGGCGCGACACAATACACGGAATCTAAGAAGAGAAAAACCAAGAAGAATAAAAATGCTCAGGATTCAATATTAACAGTTCCGTCGACACCGCGACTTCATCATGGCGGCTAAGATCATCCCAAGTCCCCATCCACGGAGAGGACATCTAATATCCTAACCTAGTCGTTCAGCCTCTGCCACGTCATCTGCTAACCGATTCGTGGTTTAACACGAGTGGGCACTGTGACCGCATATGGTGCGTGCCGATGAGGCGGTCAACTGGTATGCGAAGGACATGATCTAACTAGCGTAAGCGGTTCAAGTTTAATGTCTCGGCATAAGTTTGGAACTATGTGATAACTCATGATTTCGGAAGGTTTAAAGCACAGATCAGCTTCCTGCTGTGACAACATTTTGCCCGTGACTCAAGAGCTTCTTCAGACACTAGTGGTCCACCAGAAGGCTTCTTGCCAACCACAATCTGGTGGACTTTAATATTGCTGACTGGGAACTGTCATCGAATGCGAGCAATATTCCTTAGGCACTGTTAGTCGAAGTAGACCAATCCCTTAATGTCTTGTGTTAAGTGGGCATCTTTCTAACCCACGCAGTGACGCTGGCTTTCTCGCAACTTTGTGCGCAATACCTTTGACTCCTCAGCTGATCCGCCTTCATAGCCACTAGTCATGCAGGTTTCGGAAAGCCTTGATGACACATGAAGTAATGGAACCACCAAAGGGGACAAAACTGCCGAGGTACTTGCTCCGCTGGACCACTTCCAGTGGCCGTCCAGTAATAAATTGAATATGTGACGTGCCGCTCTGTCCTGCAGCGATACCTTGCACTTTGTTGATGCGAAGCACCGACCAAAACGCCAGCCTATTCGCTTGCAATTACTTAGGCACAGAGTCCGACCCAAAGGGAGCTATGCTGTTCGCATTCTCAATGTCTCTTAATCGCCTACTTCGTAGAACTTCTACTCAATATGAAGATGAGAGGACAGAATTATTCGTGCTCCTTTCGATCACAAATTGGAGACGAAAAAGATATTGGGTAACCTTGGCAAGCCCGATATGCCGCGAGGAACTATGGAAGTCGTTTTCCGTAGACCTTTACTCGGTCTCTGGATTTGCGATAGAGAAACTTGAGAACTGGAACTACTTTCCTTAGCTGGCGCTTCACAGATGGCACGATCAGCTGAGCTGGAAGCGGCATTCCGGACAAGCCATTCACCATAGTAGATATTCTGTATGCATCACTGTTACCGCGCTTGACGAAAAGTGAATAGGTGATCAATTCAGACTCGACCGACGCGAGATCCAAATTCTATCTCATTAACTGGGCTCTCATGTGAACCACTTGCCGTCTCGGTATGGTGTGTGGGTGAAGAGCTTGGAAATACTCGAAATAAGGCTCATGTCTCGGTGCTTCTCACGCAGTGTCCTTAACTCTTTTTGAGGATGGGAATGACGATTGACGGTCACCACTCTCAGTGTTCTACGCAGCGTTGAATCGCGTGGATGCCCCAGCTAGCAATCAACTAACACCATCTTTTGGGGGCCACGGAGGAAAGTTGTCTAGCCTTCTTCTATCCCAACAGAGTGAGTTCACATTGAATCACTTCCGAGATTGGGGTCAGGACATCAGCCTCCCGTGAGAGTCCAAATAATTCATTAAGCGGCGGCGTCACCATAGACCGTCTAAACCGTTCCCCACGCTGTTCTTCACCACGGACTATTTGGGAACTACCTCCTCGTGGTACCAGCTGGGTGGTTCGGGTGTACACCGTTCCAGCAAAGTGTTCGGCGACAATGTTCCACCTAGGTGGGACATTATAGTCAATCAATTGTGCTGATTTCATGGGGAGTATTGGGCCCCTGTTTAGTAATCTACCAAACAAAGACGCATGAACTGAACATTCAGTCAACCCCTCCCAGTGGGCGCGATTCCCTAAATTCGCCCCGTTGCCTTGCGGGTAGGTTATTTAGCCAAAGGCCCGGGGTGGAGTCCCCTAAGTCAACTTCCTCTTTCGGCTTGGGCAACCGGGTAGTATCACGCCCCCTCACAAAACCATGGATTGTATTACAACGTGCTCATCAGCTACTGTTTCTGCTAGTCACTTTCACGCTACTTCATCACACACCAAGTGTTTGTTTGCTAACAATCCTTACTTTCTGTTACCCGATTCATGTGTTCAACAATCTGGCTGCGATTCCGGTTGCGCCGCAGACCAAGGAGTTCAACCTATGTCTCTCCTTCGTCCCTGATCCTCGTTCCGTCTGGCTTGCTTCAACGTTCGGACACTCATGCAGAATGGACAGCAAGCCGGTCTAGCGCGCACGCTAGATTCCCTAGACATTGATGTCTGCTGGCTTTCAGAAACCCGATTGCAAGACCCCAGCTCTGTGCTTACATTGACACCCCCCACTGACCACGAAGCCAGATATCACCTGTGTCTTTCTGCAAATCCAGAAGCAGCCTCAGCGGGTTTGGCTGGCGTAGATATAGCACTAAGTTGCAAGGCCGAGGCGGCACTGCTGGACTGGTTCCCGATTAACAGCCGACTGTGTACAGTTCGGCTTCGGGGTTCATGTAGAATCGACAGGCACCCCGAAGAGAGGCGCAACTTGTTTGTGATCTCCGTGTACGCTCCAACTGACTGCAGTGACGACTCGGTCAAGGACAAATTCTACCGGGATCTACAACAGCTCTTGACTAATGTTAACAAGTCGGATGTCGTTATCCTTGCTGGGGATTTTAATGCACCGGTTGGCCGCCTGTTACCATACGAACGCCACCTCGGTGGTCATCACGCGCTCGATGAGAACCGCTCTGATAACGGAGAGAAGCTTCTCACATTGCGCGAAGACAACCATCTGTTTCTCTCGAGCACTAACTTCAGGCGTACGAAGAAGCGTTCCGCAACGTGGCATCCCCCTTCGCTAACACAACCGTGGTCTCAAATTGATCACATTGCAATTAGCTTCAGATGGCGCGGCAGCGTACTGGACTGCAGGTCCTTTTGGTCCAACTTAGTTGACTCAGATCATGCTCTGGTCTGCGCGAAAATCTGTATGTGCTTTGGAGGATGCCGAAACACGAAGCACCGCAAGATTGATGTAAACAGATTAACTGATTCCTCTGTCCAGGCGAGCTATCATTCTTCACTGGCATATGCACTTAGTTGTAATCCACCGCAAGTTGTGGAACAGCACTGGACTTGTATGCAGAAAGCGATGACCATTTCCGGCCAGTCATGCTGCGGCCTAACTCGACGCCTTTTGAAGGCTTAGATCTCTGCTCGTTCTCTGGAGCTGTTCGAACGCCGCAAAGATATCCCCGCGGAATCAGATTGTAACGAGCGGCGCCGTTCTGCTAACCGGCTGCTCAAGCAAAGCCTACGCAAGGATCGCGAGACATGGTGGTCTGAGCGTGCTTTAGAGATGGAGATCGCTGCCCTCTCTGGCAACATTCGCAGGCTTTTCCAACTCATTCGATCCACTGGCCTCAGGATGCCTGGTGTCAGTGAGGTCATTTGTGAGGTGGATGAGTCTCCGATCACCAACCAACAGAGGCGTATGGACCGCTAGGCCGTGCACTTTCACTCGCAGTTCAACTGGCCTCCACCATCCATCAGTACATGCACTACACCTTGTTGTCTACCCTGGCTCGTCCCACAGAATCCACCCAACGAAGTGGAAGTCAGCCTTGAGATTCGACGCATGAAACGGTTCAAGGCTGCCGGCTTAGACGGAATTCCTCCGGAGCTATTCAATTACGGCGGTGTGGTGATCATTAACCAGCTGACCTCGCTGTTCGCAAAAATTTGGCATGAAGAGAAAGTGCCTTCCTCTTGGGGCGAATCAGTTATTGTCCCGATTCTCAAGAAAGGCGCTCGCACTTCATGTACAAATCTTCGCGGGATTAGTCTTATTTCGGTTGCCTCTAAGCTATTGGCATCCATACTGCTTCGCAGACTATCCCCAATACGTGAATCATACTACCGTGCAGAGCAAGCTGCTTTCCGTCCCGGCCGCGGATGCGTGGATCAAATCTTCACGCTCCGCCAGCTCCTCGAACATCGTCACATTTATCACAGGCCCACTATCGTTGCATTCCTAGACATACGTGCCGCTTTTGACTCCATTGATCGACCTGCTTTATGACGTTGCTTGCTAAAGAACAGGGCGCCAGAGAAATATACCGCCATCTTACGAGCACTTTACTTTCATACCTCCGTCAGAGTGAGGGTCTATGGCAAGCTTTCCTCTCCATTAGCTGTCAATAGCGGTGTGCGACAGGGCTGCCCTATGTCCCCATTCCTTTTCAAGTTCGTAATCGAAGACGTTCTGGCGAATGCTCTAGAAAGTTTCCAACATTTTGGCCTAGAGTTTCTACCGGGTGAGCGCGCGACCGACAGATTATGCTGATGATATCGCCTTACTTGGTGACGATCCTCAGAGTATGCAACTCATTCCGGATCGTTTGGCGGTTGAAGCATCTAAGTATGGCATGAGCTTCGTCCGATCGAAGTGTAAAGTACTGCTCAAGGATTGGCTTTCACCTGCTCCTGTGCTCACTCTCGAAGGTGCACAACTTGAACAGGTAGATAGTTTCGTCTACCTTGGGAGCTGTGTTTCTGCTAACGGCAGTATCAACAAAGAAGTTTCTCTTCGTATCGCTAAAGCTCGATCAGCACTTGTCAATCTGAGACACTTGTGGCGTCGTTGCGACGTCTCATTCTCACTAAAGTGCCGCGTTTACAGCGCATCAGTTCGCTCTGTATTGTTGTATGGTAGTGAGTCTTGGCCAATTCGCGTGGATGACATGTGTCATTTTTCTGCCTTTGACAGCGGTTGTTTAAGGAGGATCACTCGTGTTTGGTGGCAGCATCGAGTTAATAGTAATGACGTTCGACGTCGCATCTTGGGTAATGCGAGTATTCCCTTCAACAAACTGGTTTTGTTGCACCAGTTAAGATGGCTCGGTCACGTCCTACGCATGGCACCTGATCGTCCACCGCGTCGCACTCTATTCGCTCGTCAAGGACCTGGCTCAGACCTAGGGTCAGAGTCGACTCAAAGACTCAGTTACCCATTGTTACGAGGTGATGCACCGTTTGGTACAAGCCTTTAGACAATCGACATTTCAGAAATCCACGCACCACCGCCTCAAGTTGGGTGAATTTTATGTCTGAGAAGAATTCTTTATAGCTTTTTTGAGACGATTCGAACGGGTTTCGCGTACCACATTCTCCAATGGCAATTGGCGAGTCAGTTTGTCGTGATATTGCTGAATATTTGACTAAGGGTCAAGTCAACGAGTGCGAAGTCTAGAATTTGACCGCTTCGCTGGAGCATAACAACAACAAAACATGTGCTTCTCCTCACAGTTTATCAATTGTTTAGTCATACAATGTAAGCCAAGGTGTTTGAATGACTACCGCTCAATATTGTTGGCTAACATTTACATATCTCCCACCTGTCCCAAATCTGAAGCTGAGAATTTCTATGATGAATTTACTGCAGCTGTCACAGGACACATCGATTTTTTTCTTTGCATCTTCGGCGATGATTTCAGTAGATGGGACACTACTTTTCTCACGGCTCTCGGGTTGCGAAACATCGTCAAGCTGCCCACCAGGTTAAGCGCAACCTTGGAGCAGGTGTTTTTTAATTATGTGAAGTGGTTCCGACACGACATCACACTTGCCCTGAAGAATAGTGAACAGTGCAGCAGTACGTTCGACCCTACTGTACGGTTGTGAAACCTGGCCGCTTAAAGCAGCGGACCTGAAGAGGCTAGTTACGTTCGACCACCGGTGCCTTCGTAATTTAGCTCACATCTGGTGGGAACACCGCGTGAGCAACGAGCGTGTTCGACGCCTTGTTTATGGCACAGGAAAAGGAAATGAACCGTTCAGCACCGTCATTTCACTCACCAGGCTCCGATGGCTCGGCCACGTGTTACGCATGCCAGCCCACCGACTCCCGCGACGTGCGTTGTTTGCGCGCCGGAGGTGTGGATGGAAGAAGAAGGGTGGCCAAGCGATGATTGGTCCAGAGGAATGAAGTCCCTCACTTCTGAGCTGGCCTCGGTTGGAGCGTCTCGGCTCCCTGGTTGGGGTCCGAAAGACGATGAACACGTTTGGTTGGACACACTTGCTGACATGGCTAGGAGCCGACCTCAGTGGCGTTCGTGCTGTGAGTTTCTTTGTCCCACCCCATCCCTCTTAGCCTCCCCCTCCAACCACGATCTCATTATTTAGCTTTATATAATTTCGCATAGTATTTTTTTGATGCACAGTAACCGGCTGGTAGCTTACCGGAACGATGCCCATCCGTTACCGGTAGCTCAGCCAGCTTGCACCAGTTGCATTTTTTTCTCTCCTTTTTCTTTGTATTGCGGCACAGTAGCTGAGGTGTTCCCCACCTCTAGCTAACGTGTATGATGATGATGAAGTGGTTCTCCGTTTGTACCCGGGCTCTAGTCGGCAATTCTGATCGCTCAACAATCAAGATTTCACCTGTCATCTATAGCAAGAACAACCACCAACAAATCACTCGCTGCAATGATCGAAGGGTCAGGTGGAGAAACTGCTCTCCACAAAATCTCGACAGACTTCGCGAAATGATCGCATCGACGGATTTTAGTTTGTTCTTTGACCCTGATGTATTTAGGTATAGTGATAATTTGACAAGCTATTTAAACTTCTGCTTTGCTATCTGTTTCCATTTGGAAACTATTTACGTCCACGCTGACAGGTTTTCCTCCTCCTACCTGAAGCAGCTACGTCGACTTAAGGAGCAAGCGTTTAAAGGAAAAGATGGCATCTCAGCAGCATCTCTCACGGGTCGTATCAAGGAAGAGGTACACCGTCTTGACAAAGTGTGTGTCCAGTCTGTTCTTGGGAACGGCAGTTGTCGTGAACTCTGGAGGATGCTGAAAACGCTTAGTGATGTTACTCGATGTTCGCCCTACTTTGATGTAGACGTAGAGAAATTGAACCAGGAGTTCTGCAAGTATAATACTACTACAGCTCCAGAGTCTTCCTGTCCCCATGTTCTGGGGTCTGTTGAACAACTGCCTTCCGTTGACAGTGCAACTTAATAATCTACTGAAACATCTACGCTCCAGTAAAGCTAGTGGGCCGGACATGCTATCTCCTATCTCACTCAGAGAATGTGCCCATTGTTTGGCAGCACCTCTTGCAAGTATGTACACGATGTGTACACAGCAACACAAAATAACCGACTGCTAGAGAAGTGTCAACATCATACCAGTGCCGAAAAGATCCAACAAATATCGACCTATCGCATGCACTTCCGTTGCTTTGAAGGTTCTGGAGAAAGTTATTCTCGAAATGATACTGTCCAGAACGCGCTCTAAGGACCCCTCCAGTTCGCCTATCGTAGTTCGAGGTCTACCCTAGATGCTGTGGCTTACCTCGTACATTCTGTACTGTCATCGCTTGACGATAGGAATAAAGCAACTCGGATGTGTTTTCTTGACCACAGCAATGCATTTGCCCGTGTAAACCGCGAATTACTGCCATAAGATTTACTTACTCAAGAAGTACATCCCTCCATTGTCTATTTACTGAGTGATTATTTTGCTGAACGCACTCAGATCACCCGACTCTGCGGCAGATGTTCCTCCCCACTACTCACCAACGCAGGTGTCCTTCAGGGAGCAATTCTGTCGCCTTTTTTCTACTTACCTCAGCTCTATGCCAGCTCCAACTGAAGCGACTCTGGTAAAATATGCAGACGATGTCGTCCTGGGCATCAATCACCAAAGCGCCGATTGTTCATTCCGACTACAAGCGCGATCTTAATGGCTGGTCCAAATCCCGTGATCTCTCTCTTACTGCTTCAAAGTGCCATGACATTCTTTCTTCCTTACACAAAGGAGTCAGGTACGAGGAGCTCCTTACACTGTGTAACAAGTTACATATTGATGGCGACGGATTACAGTCTTCCACATCAGTAAAATATCTGTGTGACATTGAGTTATGATTTATCTTGGACGCTTCAAGTAGATAAAACTTTCACAAAAGTCAAAAGGCTGTCATTATATGCCTGTCGGCTCAGAGCCTCCTGCATTCCTCGTGAGTTGATCGCTCGCTTTCTCAATGCCTGTGTTCTTCCCCATTGGACGTACTGTTTCCCTCTGATCTTTCCTGGTCCTTTGGGTAAGCATTTTAAGTTAATTGTCAGAGCATTAAAGCACTTAGCCCGATGTAACGATGTTCCGATATCTACTTTTACCACCACTCTTATTTCTACACACATCGGTTCTCGTAAAATGCTGGCCTCTAAGATACTGACCGATACAAGTCATCCTCTACATTCTGCCTTATCTGAATGTTTATCAACTTCATCTACTAGGCAGAAGTACAAGTTAATTTATGCCCGCACAAAAGCTTACCGCTCGTCAGTCATCCCTTACCTCTCGCGTCTGCAAAACCCCAACTCTGTCATCCTTGACTTAACCAGTCGACTTCCAACTTGATTGTGATTTTTGTCATTATCTACCCGTTCTGTCGTGTTGCTTTGCCACTGATTTGCTTTTTTTGGTACATTGTCGAAATCGTGCTTGTTGTAGCTGAATATTCACCCACACAGGGTGCATATAGCAATTTCTTGACCTGACTTGACTATGTGAGCAGTAGCTCATGATCGGGCTTCAAGCTTGAACTGATGTTTGCTGCTTTGTGGTCATGATGTATAAAGTTCAGACATGCATAATATTGACAGATAAGGTTAATCAGTCGCCAATAACCATTGCTATCATGATTACGTTAGGTCATGGACTGGTTGCACCGCACTCCCGTGTTTCAACCAGCACTCTTTTAATGAACTGTCTGTTTACAATCTTTTTCCACATGTCATCGTTTTGCACCCTTTCCACATTACTTTTGCACACACTTTTTTTTCCTTCAGCATCTTGCTTCACATCCTGCCAGATGTAACTTCGTTGTTGCTCTTTTCGAATGGAATCACAACAGCCACTTGTCTCATCCAAGCTTTCTGTAGATTCTGTGGTTACTACTGCAGTTTTCCAAATTACGTGACCAGGGTTTGTGTTTAATACTCTGATGGTGAATATATATCAAATTGCTCCGTTATATTAATTGGACACTTTTCCTCCTTTTAGTTCAGTCATTGAATGGGCCCACTCGGCATACGGAGAGAGGGCTCCTTCATGCTCGTCCCTCAACATTGTGGTGCAGCAGTCCCGAAAAGCCGGCCGCAATGGCCACCGAAAAGCACTAAGCACATCGACATGCATGGAAACGCAAGGTCATATAGGCTTATTTTCTGTTACCCAACCGAAGAATGGCAACAATGCGACCACATCCTACACTAGACGGTTGACTAAGGAAGGTGACATTGAAGAGGATGGCGAAAGTGATCTCAGCCACACTACTGAAACCGCTTCGGACATTGTGACCACGTTGGCACCGATGGTCCGACGCCGACGATCGGCATTTGATGCTGGTGATGTGACGCGCAAACGATCGAAAATGAAACCCGAATCCACAAAGGCTAAGGCTAAGCACTCATCCCCGAATGTCAGCAATGATGGTGCATTTGATTCCGCGAAATCGCATGTGAACGAGCCTGAAAAAGTGGTTGTTAAACGTGAGACTGACTCACCGGGTCCCGACAAATCGGAACCGAATGACTCGAGTGAGTTTCGTGGCACTTTGTGTGACTTTTCCTTCTCTCTCACTTCAGTGGGTTCGCTTATCTGTTGTTATCATTATTGTGTCACTTTTCGGCTGTCAGTCTTTTCGTGAGACCTTCTAGGCTCGTACTCTACCTTTTCTCTTTATTCAAACGGGTCTAAATTATCGGGCTCTGATAGCAAGAGACCTCTGTTCGTGTTTAAGCTTGTATACGTCTTAATTTGAATTCGACTAGAGCGATTGTTAACAATGCTAAATGGGTCTAGTCTCACTCACGATCCAACTGAAGTTGAGCACAAATCGATGTGGCACAAATCAGAATAAGTGGTTTCATATCAGTGTATAGAAACGGCTCCCAATTAGGCTTGTGGAGTGGTCAGACGGTGCTCAGTAGTGATCTACGTTAATTACTGCGGATTCGTAATCCGGGTCAGCGAGTAGATTGGGGTCAGCAATGGAACGATCAGCGATGTAAACATACATGACCGTATTCCGCAAATTCAGTATCCTAATTAGTCACGACATGGCTGAAACTCACAGGCCAAATGCATGTTTGGCAATGTGAATAGTTGTGCTCAAATAAACGCGGAATTGGGGAACTAGGAAAAGCTCGGTATTCAGTAACAATTATCTCAACTTCACATTAGATGCTCCACGACGCTCGATGTGACCATTCTGAAACATATTATTCTTAGCAGACCTCTCCCACTTTATCCTTCAATCACCATTTGTACACTGGTTCCGATCGCATTTGATAATTTTATCACTACTCGTCGCTTCCACCTAACCGGGTTCATTTTTAACTTGACATCAGTGACTATCCGGACAGTTGTGTACAACCAACCACACGTCTTATAATCCATAACCATGTACGCTACACACTTTTGTTTATCGATCGTTTACGTTCTTGTCTTTTATGCATATTGATGGTCTTTTCATTCCGCACACAAACTTTCAGGTGGTGTTACATTATGCGCCCGACGAGCATCGAGGTCGGGAGCACTATCCAAACGAATAAAACCCACACCGTATCCCAATATATCAGGTACAGAGTCATCTGAAGTAACCCAATTAAAAGATGTCCAAACAGCTGCGAAGCCCCCTCAATCGCTGCAGCCCAAGGTGGATGAGTCCGGATTCAGCGTGGATTCCGTCATAGCCAGAAAGGCCATGAATGTAGTAGACTCTGGCGCTACAGTTAACACTTCCGACGCCAAACGTATGGAAGACAAAAGCACTGTGTCGAACCTCAAACGACAGAAGACCAAACTAGGCTGTACGTTTGCACCTTTACATTTACCGTTAATAGCGTTATGCAGCGTTTTCTGCGCATGTTCGTATATTGTTACGCAGTGTGCTAATGAGGGACCGCACTGTTCTTTTCTTTAGCTTCTGACCGCCCACATAAGCTGTCAGCGTCTGGCGTTTCTTGATCGAGAGAATTAGTGAAGTCATGATGTTTGCTCTGGTGGGAGCAAATAACCCATGCAGGGTAACCTTCATTCATTAACCCACCCATAAACCTGATTTTCCACCATCACGTAACACCTAAGCCAATTGCATCATTCTGCTCTTCCTCCTATTGGGGATTCGTGAATCACGAGAGCCTTCTCAGCGTATATTTGCACTCAACTGGTTACTTCCTTCCTTTACAAATTGGTTCGTGTGTTTTATAGTAACAACATCAACTACACACTCGTCTTGATTTTGACTCCAGATTACCACCACCCAACGACTCCAATTGCGGTTCGATGACATTATACTCCTGTGTAATCGCTGCAAATCAGGGGGATTCGGATGGGCGATAGGACACGAGATTCAGGTGGCATCATTTATGTTTCAGTCACAAAGTTAAGCAGAAAGAGGGATAAGGTTGCTCTGATTAGCTCAATGTGTCTTAAGGGATTTCACTGGACAGTATTCGTTTACACTGCATCGGGCGTTGTGCTTTAAGGTCTTTTGAATTCAGCTAAATTGATCAGTGAGGACATTCAAAGTGAACTGTCCCCACCAACAGCCTATATTATCTGAGTCGAATGACTCTTATGTTTGGTAGTTTACAAACATGGTAACTTCCGGGCACTTGATGATCCGTTTCGGTTCCGCATTGTGTAGAGCTAACAGTCTACTGAGACCCTGATATTAGCCACTGGCATATCGGGATTTATGGGAAACCACCACAGACCTAAATTGGTGCTCTGCACTCGATACCACTGTGTCAGTCTTGTCGATAAGAATTTCATTGACAACCACTGAAGTAGTCCAGGTTTAATCTGCTCACCATGTTAGTTGTGAACCTGACAGCATACGCAGCTCTTAGCAAAGGTCTTGTGAGATAGCCAGTAATGGGAACGATGTTCCAATGTCCTCATTCATCCACAGTCTCATTAGGCACCGACCATTCACCAAGCGCCTCCTTTCTGACCAGCTTTTCTCTGTCTCGACAAATTCCGTGCTTCGAATGTTATCACTTGATTGCTCTGCATCTCATGGAGTTCAGCTTCGGAGATAAACACCCTCGGAGATGCGGTTCTAAGAATTTAAATATGCCCATATCATGGTGGCCCCGTTGCCAGACGATCGTGGAAGTTTGGTGCAGTGAGATTCTCGTCACACACTTCAATAGCCTAATTTTGTCTTTCTTAACCGATATCTAACCCTTTTTCATAGTGTCACTTCGTGGTCACAAACGGCTCCTCCCCTCAACTGGCGAAAAGATTCGTGCTCTCATGAATCAGTCTTTCAAGCGTTCTGCGCGTAAGAGAGGCGCCCAAACATCATCAGCCATCACCGGAAACTTGTCTTCAGGCAATGCTAACGCGGAGTCCAGTTGTTCATCCAATTCAATTCAGACTTCGAAATCTGCAGATAGGAAGTGCCAGTCGGATATTGCTTCCAGACGGCCCATCGCCACAAATTGCGCTACTCCTGCCGCGTCTGATCACAGTCGGAAGAAAGTGAGCTTCTCACATGCTTGCGATGAATCTGCAAAAACAAAAATCTCCCACCTTCTACTACTTACTAATTCTCACATAGTTTTTTACGGCCACTGCTTTTATTCTGTGCCACCGTTGTCCGATGCGTCGGCCATCGACAACTGCTCCATGGTAAAGTCAAGTTTAATATCGTGTCTTGAGACGAATGCTAGTACTCGACATGAAGTTTCGCTTCCCAAAGCACTTTAACTATTCATTCCCATGATATTGAGCCTCCAGTACAGTGTGGTTTTGGTGTCCATCATTGCCAATATTCTGACCATTGATATTTTGAGTCGTCTAGATGCCACATTACTTCTGACAATGGAATCTGTGGTTGTCGCCCAGGATTTCCATTTGTTACCATCTGCTGCGAAATAATTACCGCTTCCCAGATTCAACCATATGCCGCAAACGCTATCTCTATCACTACTGACGCAGTTCAATGAAGCCGTTGTCGTGTATAACTAACCACTTTGGTTTCTTTTACCGACTTCATCCAGCTATATTTACATTTCCGATTGACCAATTTAGATGCCCTAGTGTCTCCATGCTACCCGGAGCTACTTTAATTTTGAGCACTAAGTACTACCAGAGTCAAAATAATTACTTTAAGTTAGTGATCTGTACCCACTGCAGTTCAATTATCGCTGCGTACCTTTTGCCACAGTAGGCATATCATCCCCGGCTCCTCCCATTCCAGATTGTTCGCCCACTTCGTCTTCTATAGAGTTATGTACCTTTTGTCTACTTTGTCTATTTTCCATCTAACCAGCTCGATACAGAGCCGAACCCTATGAAACTCAAGGCGGATATTGATAAAGAAGATACAAACAGTCCAGAGAACAGTGTCAAATCAGTGACAGCCCGCCCAACCCCACCTCGCAAGGAATCCGCTGTTAGCGAAACCATAAGTAGCAAAAGGACGGTGGCACAAAAAATTCGAGCATGCCGGGGTGCCAAAACGGAAGGAGAATCCTCAACAACAAGCGAGCCACTCCATCGTAATCTGAAGCCGTCCACTCTCGCAACCTTAGACCATAGTGGTAGCTTTGACATTAAAGATGAGTTTAACGGTGCTTCGAACCATCGTACAGTGCAACGGTCTTCCCATTCTCAGCGTTCGCGCTCTACAGCACGCAAACTCACTTTAGATTTGAAAGACAAATCCACTGGGCGACAGTCGGGGCCAGCTAGAAAGTCAGCTCGTTCTGCTGCCTCGGATGTTGATAGTGGTTCAGATGACTCCAAATTGTCAAGCAGTCATTCCGGGGACACCGACAGTTCGGAATCAGGATTCGGAGCCATCGATGCCCTACCACGGCTTACGCGCAATCAACATCGACAACTTTTGGGGGACACACCACCAGGTGCTGCGTTGCAGACTGCGTCTCCTGTAAGCACAGGTTCTGTGCCATCGGTTGCCGTTAAATCAGACTCCAACTTGGCCATCAGGGAAGCTGCTTGCACAGAGTCTAAGCCGGAGGTCAAAACGGATACAATCACCGTCCTACACACAGACACCTCGCAGCGGCTTTCCGCTGCTTCTGCTACTTTGCATGAAACCTCTTTTTATGGAAACGAAACCTCCAATCTTTGTAAGTTACAGTCTTCTCACAGTCTTCTCCATTCTGCCCTTTTCACAGACATTTTTCAGTTTCACTTTGGCCTTAAGTGATATGGTTCGCTCTATCCATACAATGGGTGCATAAAAAGAAACCGAACGTTTGCTCTAACATCTTAAACACTTTCCCTCACAAAATAGTTTCCTCTACTGGCAATACGCCGTTCCCAACGGTGCATCCATTTTTAGAATGACTCCTGGAACTCACTTCCTGGGATGGCGCACAGGTCTCTTGTCGCATTGTTTTGAATCTCCTCCATGGTTTTGAAATGACGTCCTTTCAACGTGGAGAAAATAGAAATACGAAATGCGATAAAAAAGAAAACCTTTTTTGGTTTTACTCATGTCATTTTGAATATTTTGTTTCCTGAGTTTTTTGTGTGCATTAAAAGGGGGATAACATAACAGAACAACTTCGACCCCACTGCTGTCTGTTGCGGGCCATGACATCCAATGTTTCCAACCACTGAGATTCGGCATCGCGTGGTCCCCAACCTGGAAGACGGACTGGTCTGACTGTTGCAAAATTTGTGGTTGCCTTCTTCATGCTCCTTCTCCACGTCATTGGTTGTCCACCTCGGCACTTTTCCAATCGCTCCCTGGGAGTGCAAATAACGCTCGACGTGGAAGGCGATGGACTGGCATACCCAAAACGGGCCCGAGCCAACGCATGCGATGTCGGAGAATAACGTTCTGAAGACTAGCACTACTCGCTCCAAGCACTCAGTCTCGGATGTCTGCGTTGCTTACGTGGTGTTGCCACTACATCCGAGCAACCCTTCGTAGACAGCGATTGTCGATAACCGTTTCATGCCTTCCGAGCGAATTGGCCAATTCTCAGCCGTACAAGAGTGCTGCACGGACGGAAGCATTGTACACCCTGCCCTTGAGCTTGAGACTTACATCAGGACGGCGACATAGGTGATTGCGACGCTGGCTTTTGCAGTCCGTTGTGAGACATTATCCCCAACACAGCCACCAGCTGTGATACAACTCCCTAGATAAGTAAAGCAAGGGACTTGCTCCAGTACATGTCCAGCAATAGTGAGCGCGGGTTCAGGCACCTGCCCTTCCTGGAGCAGTGTTTTACAGTTTCCCGGAGTGAAGTATAAGCCGTACTTAGTCGCCTCCTTCGGTAAGCGGTCCAAAGTGCTCTAGATGGTTTTTGGATCGTCCCCAGCAAGGTGATATCATCGGCGTAGTCCAAGTCCGTGACTCTGTCTCCAGGGAGGAGCTCAACACCGCAGTTCTGGACACCTTCCAGTGCTCCTTGAACGATATCTTCGATGGCGAAATTGGAGAGGAAAGGTGAAACAGGGCAACCTTGGCGAACACCGTTGGTCACAGCAAACGAAAATGCGAGCGTGCCGTAAGCCCTGACTTTGCCTTACGTGGGATTGTAACGTACTTTCAGGATGGTTACAAACTTGTCGGGTACACCTTTCTTCAGTAAACAATTCCACAACGCAGATTTATCTACTGAATCAAATGCCGCTCGCATGTCTAAGACCACTACGATTGTTGTCTGCCGATGGATATGACGGAGTGCGAGAAGTTGGCGTAGCGTGAAGATTTAGTCGATGCAACCGCGGCCTTGACCAAATCCGGTTTGTTCTTCTCGGGAAAACTCCACTCTAGTCGTTGAAAGCCTGCGAAGTAGGACCGACACGAAGATTTTGGATGCGACAGAGATCAACGAGCTTCCGCGTTAGTTACAGCAATCGTCGTGGGAGCTTTTCTTTGTATCGGATCAATGACCGATTCTCCGCATGAGTTCGGAGCCTTCTCCTCAGTCCAAACTTTCGTGAACAGCGATAGGATTTCACTGACAAGTACACTCCCGTCATCTTTGAATAGAGCCGGTGGTACGCTGTCGGAGCCAGGAGCCTTGTGACGTTTCAAAGATTGGACTGCATCTCGGCTCTCTGCTTTAGTTAGGGGACCTGTTGATGATGGAGAGCGCCATGTGACTTACTGGCGTCCAGGATGACGAAAGGTCGTGCCGGAGAGAAAAAGCTGATGATCAGCACACAGACTCAGCAGTCTCTCTCCGTTGTCTGAGCGGACATCATCATGTCCATGCGATCCACCGAGGTGGCGCTTACATTGCAGCAGCCGGCCGACACGTGCATTGAAGTCTCTTGCCAAAACAATGATGTGTTTTAGGAGCCCTTAGGAGCAGCTCAGGAAGGTTTTTGTGTAACTGGTCCTTGACTGTGTCAGAGCTACAGTCAGTGGGCGCGACTCGATGTCTGCGAACTTTACAAGAGCCATGGAGCCTCATCGCACAAAGGCGACTATTGATCGGAATGCAATCAATCAGAGCAGCCCCGGCGCTAGCATTGAGGGCGATTCCAACACCAGCTTGCCCAAATGCGGTAGACTCGGCGTTACCAGAGAGGCGGAGATGGAAGCGGGTGCGTGGGCGGAGCGGTGACGCCAACATGTAGACCTAGTTAGAGTCTTGGAGTCGCGTTTCACGCAGGCAGCAGACATCAATTTCAAGGGTGTCTAGCGTGCGTGCAAGTCCAGATTGATGACCGATCTGCGGTAGTGTGCGGACGTTGAAGGCTACAAGTGTGAACTGCGTTCCGGGTTGCAAGAGCGAAGATGGGAGAATTCGGGACTGGCAGCTCGCCGTGGAGCACTGTGTGGTTGAGTTGACAGATGTCATGGGAACAGGTTCATCGGTGGAGGTGGGGTTGATCGCCATAGAGGAATCAGGTAAAAATGGGTATGAATGGTACAATTTAAGGGTAGGTAAAATGGTGGCATGTGCTTGTGAAGTTGGCATAATAGCATGAGTGAATAGCATCGTAGCAGCAAGAGAGCGTGTGAATGGTTGTAGTTGTAAGTTCAGGGTTCGTCACTAGGCAAGATATTATCCCGTTGCCTAGGCTGAGCTAGGTAGGTTGTCTTAGGGGACCACCACCCCGAGCCTTTGGTCAAAGGGCCTAACCCACAAGGCAGCAAGGCGAGATGAGGGATTCGCACCCGTTGGGAGCCGGTTACTGGACACTCAGTTCATACGCCTTTCGGATGACGATAAATCATGCCAAGGGTCCAACACTCCCGAAGTCAGAGACAAGATCCGATGTTCGGATTGCTTGCTGGTGTACGTCTCCAAAGGAGAGAAGAGGCAGTGATTTTATTTAGTGACGAGTCACATCCGCCACGTCGCAGTGTTGTCACACGGACATTTATGGTTTCATAAGAAGAACGCATGCTAGGCGAAAACCCACCACGGCAGCGTGCTGCCTCTGCCCGTTAGCGCGCTATTTCAAAAATTCGGTTTCTTTTTGCCCACCTTTCGTGTAACACATGGTGCTGTATTTACTATCACGATATACTGGACCCCTACGTTACGTGGTTCTTTGTGTATTTCCTTGTCTCATTTGAGTACATCAGCCATTCGGACGGATGTTTCGTTGCCGCAACCACAGCAAGAATAATAAGAAGGAGACCTGGAGTAAAATTCAACTCTCCTAAGCAAGCATTCAGGGTCACAACACCTGTAATTTGTCAACAGCATATCGTCACAAACAGCTGACTACCCTGCAAAGATAAGGCGGTATCGGCGACACAACTTCCTTGCGGCTTTCACTGCTCTGCCCCATAATCAGCCATTACCTCGCAGATAACTCTTTAAACAGACAGTCAGATTAAGAGAGGACACCAGGCGCGCCATTGGTGCCGAATGCCATTCGCAAGGCATGTCACATGGACTCCAACCTAGAAGGCGAAACGAACCAACAACACCCAGTTTTGTAGTCAATGACTACATTTTTATCTGCGATGTCAACTTTTGCCCACTTCGGTCATTGTACCACCCTAAATCTGGTAAACAAAGCAAGGCCTTTCTCACTAAGCGGCGACCGGTCGTACCTAGGACATGCCCAGGTTAACGCAACTTATCCTTTGTTTTTGTTTGGTTCACTGCAACTAGATTACAAGCCGCATAGGTGAACTACCCATCCAGAAAAGCACCAGACGATTGGTTCGTCCTATTGGGACTCGTCAGTGGTGCGCATTCCCTCGGTCCCCTACGTGGATCAAACGCTTGACTGCTAATGACTTGCACCATTCGCCAGCAGCTTATGCAACTGAGCCATGGAGGACGATAGCCCACCCTCACGGATTTAAATCTAACTGCTATATAGCCCGACGCAATGTTGTTATTCTAAGCAAAGAGCCTGACTATCACCGTCTAGTGCTCGCTTACGCACACCACCTTTGATGACCCTTAATAATGAGAGCCCCTAGGTTATTGATCAGTTCAGTCATTTTGGCCGCCGCATCAGCAGTGTAGTACGAAACCCAGAGTTGCTTTCTTGAACCTGCGACATCTGTGGTGTCAGAAGTTGTTTCCCCTCCCTCTAAGTTGACTGCGTTCGCCGTTCGTTAAACGCTGTGATCGAAATTCCTAGAAAACTTCTCAATCTTCAAGTCTGTTGGTGACAATCTTGAAACATTTCACTCTGAAATCACGATCATGCTTTCTCACGGGATCTGTTTTCGACTGGGTGGATGTCATTTTGAAACACTTGTTCTGTGAATGGGTTGTGGCATGCAATCTCAACCGGAAATACCACTTACTTGGTATTGTGCACATTGATAACCTAAACGGATCATTACAACAGTACCGCACAAACACAAGCATTGTAGACCCTGTCCTTTACCGAGTGTGAAATGTCACGACGAAGATTCACAGATGCCTCAGTTTAACGAAAGCTTGTCGGGTTCTGAGGATATGGAGTAAAATCTGTCTTTCAAAAGTGCTGTCAGCGGAGACGCAACTCCCATGTAGATGAAGCTCTCCTCTTGTTTATGCTGTGCCTCTTCATGAATCAGCACTGGATTTGATGGATTCCAATCCAGGATTATAATTTTGCTCTTCGATGGAATTAAGGTCATGCCAAGCTACTTGAGTCCGTGATGAACGTTGCCCTTAACCATTGCACTGCTGCAGTCGGT